TGCCGGCGGTGATTATCGAAGGAGAGCCGCTCGCTAGGTTATTACACCGGTGCGCCCCGAAATGCGACGATACGCGTAGGTAGCGCGGCGTCCAACGGAAATCTCTCCCCTGGCAACGTTCTGGGATTCACTCACCGTCGTAGGCGTACGTCCAAGTGAAAATAATTTTTAAAAAAAACTACTTCCGTTAGACCGTCTTTTTTTTTTTACATAGAAATATAGCTTGATAGATTTTTTTATTTTCATTTCAAAATTGTGTTATAATATAATAATACATATAATGATTGTCTTAGTAAGCTAAGCTTGTTGTGGAGACAACAGTTCTATCCTATACAAAAAATGTATGATAATATATAATACATTATATTATGTTAGAGGTATAATGTAAATGAAGTATTAAATTTAATACTAAGCATTAGTAACTTGAGATATAAAATTTTTATTTATTTTTATACAGTTTAAAGCTGCATAGACGGAGATTTGGAGGTGATTGGGATACTAAAAACCTTAAAACTTAAAATTAGTGCTTTTCGAAATACTTACATTTATTTTTTAGTGAGAGATTTGTTGAAACGAAAATCTATGTAGCACTAATTGTATCAGCTTAATTGTATTTTTTTACTATATAAAAATGTGTGATGACATAATAATCACGCTGGAATGAATAAATAAATTATTGAACGAAAAATATGTACAGAACAGAGAGCACATAAACGCGAAAATTAAATTAAATTTGCCAATACAAATTAATATTATATAATTAAACGTTGCCAAAAAAAGTTGGATAAGTCTCACAGGTCAAAAATTGTTGTGACCTGTGAGACCTGTGAACATTTTACAATGATATTATATCAAAAGTGGGCAAGTTAATGAAATAATAATTAACTTGACAATGTTATTAAGTTAAATGACCTTTATAGCATCATAGCAGGTTAAAATTAAATAGCTAATAACAAAAATTAAATTAAATTCGCGCATTTTGTTCAATTAAATATAATTGTACATTATATTATCGTGCGCGATACAAATTTTTGTCTATACAATTTGGCCAATATACTTGTACACTCATACATTAGCGGCTAATGATTAGCCCTTCACAGTGTGAAAATAAAATTACATCATATAATCTACAATTATTTCTGTTTTAATTTCTTTGTACACCATTCGGCCGAGACCGATTATTTCGGTTTGTACTCAATTGATTACAATTACTATGCTGACTACAACAATTATTATACAGTATACTTGTAGCATTAAAGTAAGGTATATAGTAATTGAGATTTTTTTTACGTTGTGTACTTAAATCCTTTATTTTATACATTTTCTTTGTTTTCTTAATCATCGCAATAATTATTATCCTTATGTTATTTTTTCCTCTAACATTTATTTTCCCTGTTATATTATATCTTTGTAGATACCTACTCGGAACCGTACCGAAAAGTAACTCGACCGTACATCGTTGTGTAATAATCGATAACTATTATTCTTATTATGTCACGTGTGTAAAATGCACGTGGTCAGCAAGCCAAGGGCTACGGACAGGTAGTAAGTTTCCCCTCCATTCGGTACGACCACGTAAAAAAGGTTTTGAAAAAAAAAATAATAAACTTTGTCACGGTTGCCATAATAATTATATATTTTTTATCAACGACAACCGTGTCGTTCCTTTTGTTTTTTTTTTATAGCATACACTGTCTGCACAAATTTAAAACATTAAAATCCGGTTTTGAAAGGAAGGAAAGATAAAAAAAAAAAAAAAGAGTATAATATAATTTTTAAAACGCATTTGTATGACACGACGGTCGTCGTCGATGATGAACGTATCGGTTTTTTTTTTTAAGTGGAAGAATTGACAAAAAGCCGGTTTTAAAAAAAAAAAATCCCAACCAAGTAACCCAAGTATATTTTGTGTCTATCGGGGTACACATATTTTTGAGTATACTTAACTCCCATTACACCCATTTGGTATTTTGCAAATCGAATAGTCTATTAATAATTGAAATAAAATGATCTTCCGAGGTGCCAACTCACTCTGAAATATAATTTTTTGATTTGGCCGACGGACAAGTCTAACCTAAAGCCATATTGAGTGAAAATTAAAAAAAAAATGTAGGTTTTTTTTTATAATTGGCATATTGAAAGTAGTTGAGTAGGTACATACAAATCATAACAACCTTACTCGGGGAACAAAAAAAAAAAAAGCGGATTTACTACGAATTATGAACACACAGTTTTTTTAAAGATGAAAAAAATATTCTCTTTAATTCATTCGTTCTCGTCGAGGAATCGCGTTACCGAATTAACCATCAATATACCTACGTGCACTTGTAAATAAAAAAATATTATATGTACATGTTATATATTTTTGTTTTTTGTATGCATTAAATATAACAACTCCAAACATGCACGTGAATACAACCCCTTTTGTTGTGTGAGCAACCGAGTGGTAAATAAGGGACAGGTGGACCGTGAAAAATAAACAGCCCTCGACAAAAATCCTGTCCATTTGTATTTTTTTAACAAGAGGAAGGAGAAAACCTCAAAATAAAAACATTTCATTTCAATGTCCTCGCATAGTTTTTTATTGTCCAACCATATACTTGCATGTACTTCAAAAAGCAACATAAGAATGTTATATCATTATTATGGTTTGGCGTTTTGTTGTAATAAAAGTAATCCGTTATAAAATTCAATGGTGTTTAAAAAAAAAGCCTCTTACTTGGATAAGCAGCGATGACTGCTGGAGTTTTTGTAATTTTATGAACTGTACTATTATACTGTTATATGTAAAAAAGTACATTTAGACGAAAATTTGATCTTGTTTTTTATAACTGATCCTTAAAATGGATTGATCCACCCTAATAAAACACACTGTAAAAAAACTTGGGATAGTTTTGCTATTAAGTCAATGAAAAACTTGTTCGACGCGATTAGTGATTATTTAGATGAATTGTAGTAAGGCGAAAAATATGGGTGTTTTTTTAATGCCACAAATGTAAGTTTAAATGTCTACATTAAGTCTTGTGAAAAGGGCTCAAGTAAAGTATTATGACAATGGGAATTTTGAAATTTGTCTTGGTTATGTTAGGACTTTTACACTGTAAATTTTCAATTTTTTTTCAGTTTTTTTGAAAATACTTAATTTTGTACTAATTAATGTATTCAAATGTAGGTACAATAGATTCCATTTTTAAAAACTACAACATCCGAACATTTTTACTAAACACCGAAAGTACCCAAAACCTGAAAAAACGTATGGGGGCGACCCTAAACCCGAATAATACCGGATGTGGTTGACCCGAATAACCCAAATCCCATATTTCTTATTTTAGTTACAACTTACTTTGCACTGTTGACCCGTAACAACCCGAATAATACCGGATGTCAGCACCCAAATATCCCATTACCCATAACCCGTAACCCATATACCGTAACCCATGACCCGTAACCCAAATGAGAAAAATGAAGGTGTACAAAGAGCTGCTTATAACTTTTATCACAACTTGGCAGTAACCAGAGAGTCGGTCGTTAGAAACCTTTAGAATTTGTTAGATTAAACGTGTTCTTTATGCAACACAATAGTATTATAATAATGGAAAACATTTTTTTTTTTAATTAGGTCATTATCGAACCCGACAAAAATCGCTTTATCGTTTAACGATAAAGTTCAGGCACGAATAACAGCTAGAAAAACCCGATCAAATAACGCTCTTCGTCGCTTAACAAAGGGTTTTTTGTTTTTGTTAAAACCTATTATAGCGACAAATCACGAGAGAAATTTAGAGAAATAAAATAGATTAGTATGAGTTGTACACGAGCATGACCAACTGAAATAATTTAGCGTGGGGGGAGGGGGGGTATAATAAATATTTAAAAGGCTCTAATTCATACACCGGTCGCGTGTTCGGTGACTGTAATAATATTATAGACTTTATTATTCGCGTGTTCTTTTCCACCGGAACAGGCATGGGCACCGGGTTTCGTTTGGATTTGTTGTCGGCATAATTTATACTATCCGGATAAGGTTTTTACAACGATATTAAATGGCGTTTCGTTTAGACGTTTTGCAATCATATCTGCGGACACGGGATTTATGCACTATTAATAGTGTTTAAACGGTTTTACGTCTGCGATGTAAAATAATTATTTCAAACGTGCGATTAATATTGAACGTGTTGACCGACGAAGATGCGCAAAAAAAAAAAAAAAAACAAAAATGGCATTACACTAACGATAACGGCTTTGTGCGAAATGTATGCAAAACCCATTGTCATAATAGTGTGCGTAGGTACCACTCGGTATACCTACACGGTTGCATTAGACAGAGAAAGATAAATGGATGGTTTTTTTTTTGTTTATCAGCGAGTCAGACTGCTTGACGATAAAAGAACACCCGTGATTGTAATACTAGTACAAAATATAGTATTATTATTGTTATTATGGTCTATCATAGCGTATCGTGCAAAGTGTTCAGTTACACAACAATCCGTACAAATATTTCAAATATCGTGTGCGCTATAAATATAATCACAGTTGGCGAAATTCGGGTTTTGAATTAAAAAAATCATGACCCAATTTTTTATGTTTTTTTTTGGATACACGTGTAAACCCATTTTTTCGGGTAAATGCCAAACTGGGATTAAAAAAACCTAGTTATTTTCTCCGCTCCACGGAAAAACATCGGGTCATGGATATGTTATCTCTTATCACTTATGTCTTATCAATAATCCCTACTCTTATCACTTATTTCTTATCTCTAACTGAAAGTGAACGTGCAACGCGAGTGTAATGGCGACGTGACAATTTCTTTTATCCAGCCCGATAAAATTTGTTTAAAAAAAAAACCCCATTCGGTATTTTTAGGCTTCGGGCGGGGGGGTTGTTTATTTTTAACACAATTTGGTCGGAGTAGGGTAAAATATGACGTGGGAAAACGGGCGTTGTTGATTTTTATTTACGAAAAAACGGCTTTACCGTATTGTATACTTGGTTTGTCTTACCTGTTTGTGGCCTCGCTGGTCTCGTCGAACGATTTCAGTCTATTGTTGCCTTCATCTTTGCCGATTAGGACCTCCGTCAAACCGTTGTTGAACGGCGAGCTGGGTCTCCTGGAAGACTGTCTGGAATCCGGATGGTCTTCAGGTTTGTCGTTATCGTCACCCTCACAAATACCGCTTGTGTTATTGTCGAAAAACCCGTTGAGATCGGTGGTCGGGTGTAATTGACGCATTAACTGTAAAAAAAAAAAAAATAATAATTTAAATTTTATAAAAAAAAATCGTGTGCTTAAAAATGTATTAGGGTGGATACGATTGGGGTTGTCTGTCTGTAAAAACATGTACTGCCATACTGATACCTATACTGCCATATAGTATAATATATACTATAATTAACAATATAATGAAAATATATCCAAATACCTGTACCGAGTCTTACCTTAAAACGAAATAAACAAAGTTGCCATCCCTTATAGGATAAAATGGGTTTATGGTATAAATTTGACTTTTGGTTGGAAATTTCAAGAATTTTGTTTGTACGTTTTTTTTAGTTATTTCATGTTGGTTTTATTTTTAATATTGCGCAATAGGATACCTATTTCCGTGCTTGGACGACCGCCGGCTTTGACACGATTGATGTGAAGTGATTTCACTATAATGGAAATTTTCCCTTTTCAAAGGTTGACGACAAAAAAAAGTGTAGGACACACACTTTTTTCGATGACAAGTACAAAGCAAAAAAAAAATGCTTTGATGATCACGATGGCGTGTAAAATAATCATGCTTCGGTCTCGACCACCGAATTGGTAATGTTCAAAGTCCACGATACCCAAAATATATTTAACCTCTCTTGTGTGATCCATTCAAATATACTTTATATACTGATTTACGTTTGATGAAAAATTGTATAATGTATTCAAATTTATATTGAATAATTCCACATAGCAATAAGAAATTTCAAAATAAACCATTTAAATAGTAATATTGCCAAATAATATAATATTTATATCATGTTATCAATTATTATTATGATAATTTACACGCTGTTATTTATTGTATGTAACCGAAAACAAAACCTAAATAAAAAATAACTAAGAAGTATCAGTATAGTAATTAAATGTAAATTAACAAATTAACTAAATTCTGATAACAAACAAATGGATAGGACATTAAGCTTATCGTCCGAGAATAAAGTGATAACATTTTTAAGGTTATATGGGGTCCTTAATTTTCATATAAATTTACACATTAGATAGTTATAAACTATTTAAGTATATTTAGCAATTAACAAATAAATAACAATATAGTTATTTTGTACATTGGTTGTAACAAAAACGCTTGTGCTATTGTGTTAATCGTATAATCATTTTTGTACCCAGGTCAATGTTAATTGTATTGACTCAGAATTTTCGTCCCCTATAACAGTGTTTCCCGTATCAAGAAATCAAAATAGCATTATTCCGAAACAATGTCTACACTGAAAATTGAAATTTTACATTGGCTATTCGAATATAAATTATTATCATACGTGATATGCACACGGTATATTTTTTTACAGCGACCTCTTACAGTCCTATCCGTTCTTTTATTATCTATGATCGCAACCCCCTGGTTAGCTACCACCACCTATACAACAGCATGGTGTTGTATGTAAATATTACACGGTCGGGTCATCGGCGGCGCCACAACACTTCACACGCAGTGGTGGTGCTGTTGCCTTTTTCGACCTTATTTGTATGATTATTTTTTTTACACGGACATTTTTGCTTAGGTATAGATATACTATACGAACTGGCACGGCGGAAACGTGTCTAATTAGCCGGACTATAAATCTCGGGCCGACACACGCGGGTCCCAGACCGAATTTGTTCGGTCGCCCGATGGTTTCCAATTTCCAATTGGTCTTTATTATTATTATTATTTTAGTCTTTCCGCGGCTACTCGTGTTTCTTCGTACGCCCATGGAGTAATATGTAATATGTACACAATTCCCGGTAACACAAGCCGCATACTCACAACTCGACCGACCGATGTGTGCCAACGTTATTAGCAATGAAAAACGTCCGCCGAGATCTTAACCTCGGATCGGATCACGGTCACACACACTGTGTACACAACGCGAAATCGCACAAACAACGATATTGCACGGCTCTTTTATTTTTTAATCAAAACTTATTTGTAAAATAATTCGAACAAACAACGATTGACGAACGATTTTGACATGAATACGTTGTCTTGATATGGCGGAGATCTGTTGAAAATTTGAGTGGCACAACGAGAGGATGGCCTCGTGTAGATGGGATTGGAAATTGATAATAATTACTCCTGGATAACTGATAAGAAATGAACGATTATATAGTTGTTAGTGTATTAGATAGTGATAAGGGTAATCGATAACCGTCGGGTGACTGATAGGAGATAAGATTGTTGAATTAACTGATAAGAAATGATTGATAAGAGACAGATAAGACAGCCATTGTACTTGACTACGAAAGTTAGTAAAGTTAGTCAACTCTAATGAGCGCAATTGCATCAAATACCGTTTAATTAGCTAGTTTGACTTTAAAATTTTAAATAAACTGAGAACTCTTAAACAATTTTTTCTAAGTATTTTTTTTTATTTCAAAAAACAGCGATGCAAAGGTATAATAGTGATTTTTGAAAAACTTTACAGGAGAGATTAATACAACATTATGTATACTTTCAATGTTTTCTTAACTTGCATGTTGTCTAATAGTTTTCTTCACAACCTCTTTTTCGGAAATCGATTAAAAAGTTTAAAACAAACACAGATAGAAAAAAAAAACCGTTAAAATCTGAAATAAAATAAGATTTTTCTTCTGTTTTTAAAAACATTTTCATTAATACTGTTTATTTGGGTACACAACGATATTATACTGTAAGTACCGCTTTTATACAAAAAAATTATTGTATTTCAGTTCACTTTAACTATTTTTATTCGGTTATTTTCTAACGCCTTGTTTATTACACCTCTATCATTACGGGTTTACTCTAATTTGTGTCTATTCATTCGCGACCAAAAAAAAACCACCGATTAGGTATTATAATCGTTATTGTCGTTATCCATCTTATAAGAAATATTATAATGTCAATAATAAGACATTGTCACGGTCGATGGTTTTATTAATTGTCGAGAAACGCCTGATGGCCTGCATCAGTTATAAGCGTATTGTCTGCATAAATAATACAAATTAAACCACATTTTATAGCCCACTATATTTACATTTACATTAAAAATATTGCAATAAAAACTTTAAGCACAATTAACAGTATTAATTTGAATAACAAAGGAGCTGCGCTCATTAAAAGTTTTTCTATATCTTAAAGCGTTTTCTTACTTCAAAATCCGACAAATTTGGACACGTAGTTGATCAACGATGGTTGATGGACATTACAGATATTTGATAACATTTCTTTGACCTAACTGTACAACAGAAGGTTTATTTTTTTTTTATTATAGTGCACTATCAGGTTTTGTTTAATCTGTGCTATTATCAGAGAGAGGGAGAGAAAATAAGAAGTAGCCTGGTTTGGAATGTGGCCACGACCTACGACGCTGCGGAGCACGTTAGGTTGCATACGCGCACGCCCGTTGTATACAACACAATCTTCCCACACACGGTCCTAACAGGAAAACACCTATTAGGACGATCTAGAACGGAAAATATATTTACAACAGTGATTCAGAAACGCTCGTGAGCTGTAAACAACGTAGATAAACTAATAGTTTAACACCTACCGATAAATATTCAAATAATATCGTCACAAATGAGACATCACTGGCAAGGTCACCGATAAAACAATCCGTGAAAACGACATTGTTGCATACAAATTAACTTGTGTCAAAACACGTGCCAACAACTAAAAAGAAAAATGGAAGAACGATAAAAATGTTAAAACAAAAGATAAGCAAACGACAAACGCGAGTACCTAGTACCTACTATCGTAGAGGCTCAGTATGACCTATTATTTCTTATTAAATTTTCAAAGAACGCAAATCGCCTAAATATGAAAACGAAATTGGCGATAAAGTTTTAATGGTTTTAAATTTTATTGTTGATAAAGAATTTTTAAAAGAACAAATGTAGTTATGAGTAATATTTTTGACTCGTGAAACAGTACAAAATTAACTATGACAAGTATTCCGACCCGAGTTGTTAGTTAGTTGTTTGTTTTTTTTTTTTGAGCTGGTGGAGAAGAGATAGTGATAAGGGTTAATCGATAACAGTTGGATGACCGATAGGAGAAAATTCTTAAATTAGCTGATAAGAGAATCAGCTGATAAGAAATTATTGATAAGGTACAGATTAGATATCCACCGGTTTTGGCTATGATAGTTGGTAACTTTGAAGTACTAGTAATTTTAAAGAAACTCTCTAATCCAAAATATCAAATATTGAATTTAACCGAATAACAAAGTATTATACATTTTTCTAAAATGTACCAATTTTCGAAATGTAATAAAATTGAGTTTTTGTCTTTGATCCTTATTTGTGATAAATAATTTTTCCAATAAATTATAGTTATTTAAAATAGAGCTAATATTATATATTTTTCCGCATTAATAAGTTGTTCAACTGGTTTAGTTGTCATAAAAAGATTTAAAAAAATAAAAATAAAAAATTATACTTCTATTACAGAACAATATTTTATCTCTTTCATGTGCCTTACAATGCAACCACATGACTAATCCTGTTTCGCATCTCGAACAACGTGTGTCGCGTATTATAATTATTAATGAAATATAAAATAACGATGAGTTGGTATATCACTATTTAGCAAACGGACTATTACAATACAGCTAAATACACAACAATTATAATAATATTATCATAAGTCATGGCGTACCATAGAACGAATATTGGCAAACGTTTATTGTTTCAGAAACTCATTTTATTATCTTTTAATTGACTAATAATAATTATCATCACTACAGTAATTGGATATACTCAGATAATCTCAACTTTTAACACAAATCCCGAAAGAATACTTAAAATGTTCGAAAAATTAATACATTAATCCTGTCTCGAAAATTAACCCCTTTATGTTTACAGTAGTAAACACTACTGAAAAGATATGACTACTGAAAATACATGTATATTTTTGGGTGGGGTTTGCTGACTTTAAAATTGTTCTACAATTTTTTTTCTAAGACATTGAAGTTTTTTTATAATCATCTCCAAAATTGTAAACAACTTACGAAAACCAGAAATTTTAATTTTGTAATTTCCTTTTGTGTTATAAAAAAATAAAAATGAAATAAATTAATAGAATATAAACGTTAGTTTGAAATTAACAAGGCGAAAATACAACAAATCGTATTATATGAATATAATTTGGTCATGGTTCCGAATTCGTGATTAGTGGGAATCGATAATCATCGGATAACTGATAAGAGAATCCGCTGATAACAAATTATTGATAAGAGATAAAAAATCAAATATCCATCGGCGGAGTTGACTTTGAAGACAGCTAGTAAAGTCATAACTATAACAAACAAATTGCAAGCAATAAGTTACAAGAGCAATAGCCACTAAGAGTTTTTCCTGCATTATATCAAACAGGATAGTAGCGATTATGCTGAGGGGAAAACGGCGGTCGGCAGGTCGGATGTTGACCCTTCAATTTTGAGTACCGGTTTGCTTGGCGGAAGTAAAAAAAAAATGATTTATTATTTTCCAACATAATAATTATTACCTGATGAGCCAATTTGGTGATATCGACCGGCGTGATGTGTTTGCTGGCAGCCAGCCGTTCCAATCGTTCTTTGGCTTCGTCCTCGATGCCGATGAAAAACGCATCGTGAACTTGACCTAGATCCGATCCTGCCGAATCGATACTAGTGTTTACAACTGTAAAAAATCAATAAAAAAAAAATCCCGAATTAATGGTTGACAAATATTACAGCTACCGTCAAGTATTACTACGGCAATTTTATTATTATGTTGTTCGAATGCAAATCACATTCCATCGATTACAAGATTCGAATTAGGGCCATCATTCAAGTTGATCGGACGACTTTAACGGTTAGACCGAAGACGACACGACACTATATTATACTATAAGCATGTTATTATATTATTATTATTATTAATTACTGTGAACCGGTTTAAACGTTATCAACGCGATCGGTAAGAAAAAATAAAGAAATTGATACAACATTACGGTCATCGTGTATTCCAGAGAAACTTAATGCGTTTTCCAATGACCTACACTCAACCGTCGCACATACTTACATAGACACACACATTCTATCTGTACATTTTTTTTTATCTCCGTGTTGTATATAGATGAATAGTTAACTGAGTAGTAAGTGTTCATTTAAAAAACCAGATGGTTTGTATTTTATTAGTTAATATTGAACGAAATACTTTTTGACATCGGCGCCGAGTGTAAGTTTTTTATTTTAACAACTGTGATTATAGTAACCGTCCGAGTATTTTTTAAATTTATATTTTGATCATTACCGTTAAAATAAAAACCGTGAGAAGTTTTAATAAGTTCAACCCGAGTATATTCGTTGTATATTTTTAAATACGGAAGCGCTATAGTTGAGAAAGTTAAGGCATTGAATAGCTTTTAAATTACAAAACATCCATTTGAAAAGCACATATGTGTAAATTATCGGGATTATAGTATAAAATATTTTCACAAGCTGTGAAATGTTTCATAATGAAATTTTCAAAATTTCCGTCGACAGGATAAGTCTAACGGCTTTTGTGTCACAATGGGAAGGGGATGGGATAGTGATAAGTGTAGTGAGGTTGTGGGAGAGGGGTGACGAGGGAAAATGGACTAATCCTGGATAACTGATAATAGAACTGAAAAATGAGCTCCTTCCTTTAAGGAAAACTGAAGAATTTCATAGTCGCCCACACACTACATTTATATCTCCATTGTAATAATTAAAAATTTTTAATTCTCGAATTTTTTTTTCCACCGAGGAAAAAACAATTTTATTATTGACTTCGCTGAATTTATAGTATTTTTTACTAAACATATTTTAGTTAAGTCAATATTAATTTAAATTAAACTTTCGGAAGAGACAACTGTAATGTATATGGTTGTCACTTATTAAAATAAATGTTTGTAGATGTATCTATATTATTATAATTAAAAATATGATAAGTTTCATTGCGTTATGTTGGTAATAGATTTTCAAAAACCTATTTTAATTTAAAATTTCCCTTAAATTCTCTCATTGGTAGGATTCTTCGATCAAGTTGTCGAAGACAAATTTAACTCACTGTTTACATAGAAAAACAATATTCAGATTATTTGATAAAAAAATATTGATTTTTTTGCAAAATTGCCAATACTTTACCCTTAGTGTTAAGGTACAAAGTTGTATGGGGAAAAATTACCGAGACTTAGCTAATTAATCTAAGTCTAAGTGTAATGAAAAATTTCCAAAAAGGTTATTAGTATAGTTTGAAACAAATATTATGAAATTAATCGATCATGTGATAGATGCATGATTAATACATACGTTTTTTAAAAAATTTTTAGTACACCATATTATTTTATAAGCCACATTCACTTCGCACACACATTTAACGTGTAAAAACGGAAAAATGTGATCGTGAAAATACATAAAACGCTGTACGATTATAGCACACAACAATAGTTGTATAAACTTCACTGAGTTTCGACTGCCACTTTGAAATGACCTCGACGAACATAAAAAAGTAATAATAATTTTTAAAAAAACCTATTGAAAACGGCGTGCAAATTCTGAAACTAATGATAGAGTAGGCAAATGTATACGCTATTGTGAACAACGCGGCGTATCAACATTGGGTTGGGTAAACTATGTGTGTATAAAAAATAATTTGTGCAGTTTTTCATAGCGCTCGAAAATTGGCTGTTGATATTTGTATTGAGAATAAACATTTGCATAATCGATAAGTACATTATTTGTCATCTTTTTTTGTTAGTCAGTATACGCCATAACTTATAGCAAGAAAAAAAAATAAAATATCATCAATTTGTTCATGAATGTCTCGTGGTAGACGCTCTAAAATAAGACACCTTCATGGCGAAAAATCGATTAACCTATCAATTTAATTTAAAACTAAACTTTCGTTTGGCTTCGAGCATGTTTTATGCTCTAGTCTGTTCCCTCCTATTCTTCTTGCCCTCTAGATACCGAATCTCTTATCTCGTATCTTATCACATATTCAAATTACTTGACGCAGATTTTGGAATGATCTCCAGAGGTATGACTTATTCATGTATAAAAAAAATATACTCAATCAATCGAGGTTCAAACACTACTCTTTTTTTGCCATAACCAGCAGTGTTTGTCTCAAACTCTGTATCTATTACCGAAACGTTTTTAGACGAACCTATTAAAAAACAACAATAATATATTATTATTTTTGTTTACTTATGAATAATAAGCGAGTTAGATGGATAAACGACGGTGTATTAATTTTAGTTAGATTTCACGCGAGGGCTAAATCTGATGTACAGTCATGAATGAAAGTATTTTTGCATTTTCTTGTTATGTGATGTCTCAAAATTATTACTCATTGTATTAACGTAGAAGAAAGCATAATGGATTTTACAATATTCCAAACGAATGACTAATCGGCAGCGACAAAACGGAAAAATACCTGCAACTTGCTCTTGGTAACCGTATTTCTTAGTATTATTATCGATTCATGCAATTGTAATTTATCAAGACGGTTACACAGTACACTTAATAGTTGGTGTATTGATTATTAATGATTGAAAATTTAAATATTTTATCAATGACGTTGTTTGAGTTTTGATATTTGATTGATGATTTCAAGTACCTATTTGATTGACGATGAAATTTTTAAATCGACTATTAATAATACAATTTCAGCCGTCTAGTCTGAGGTTCACGTTCGAAATGATAAGTCAGCTGGTATTCACCAAATACTACCGGAACACTATTGGGAAACCCCGAAATTTTCTAATAATCACTTTGTCTTAAGCAACTGTTACTGGAAATAGACAAGACATTTGAGAAGGGCTCGTCAAAGGCAGTAAGTAAGTAGTTATAACTACTACTACTACTACTACTACTACTGTCTACTATTATAGTCTAAAGCCAAGAAAATATGCTTTACACTTTATCCTAGAAAGGATGAAAACTTATTCTTTACTTCACTTTCTAGGTGAAGATTCTGGGCATGAAAGTTAGACTGAAGGTAGATCTAGAGTAGAGCTATAACATAAATATATGCCTCAAAAAAATTAAATTACAAGTATTAAATTTCCACGTTGCTATGCGTGAACAGGCAACCATATCAGTTGATATTTTTTTTTAGATATACAGGGTTAGGTCAGGATGATCGATTCAACGTAAGCCACGTTTTTGTGTTGAACATTTTAATTTGTTTTCATCCTAACTTTTAATGTTTAGATAAAAACGCCTATGACGTCCAAACTCTTAAATCGTTTGACCGAAACCGTCTCATTTTTTACCCTTTTAAAAATAAAATAGTTTGACAACAGATTTAGGTACTAACATAAAAAAAAACAATACATCATCGTAACAACAATAGCTTCTCAGCCCAACGTCGAAACTAAAAAGGATTTTAGAATGATTTTAGTATCAATTAAAAATGTTTTGCCGGATGTTGGGCAAATCGTCTTGTGCCATCCTACCACAGGTATATTATTAAAGATATTATTATTAATATATTATTTTCTATAGTCTAATCGGTTCGTACACAACCTACGCGGAAAACACCTTTAAGTACTATATGTGTCCTCCCGCGCCTCCACCCATATATTTATACACATATACAGGGTGTTCAGAATTTCAGGTAAAACATCTAATTTTTCGAAGATACAGTAATATGTTGAAAAATTACTTATCTGTGACGTTTTTAATTATTTAACCATATTACTTCATCAAAAACACCTAATAATTCAAAACTGGTTATCGACCGGTCGATATTTTCAGTGAATTATTCTTAATTAAAAAAAAACGAATTGAACGTATACATTACCATATAAATATCAAAAGTTAACCCCCCCCCCCGCTCCCCTAAAACTAGCTACCATATTTTATTAACTTTTTAAATTAGGAATATTTTACTAAAAATGTTGACTGGTTTATAACAAAGTTTTGAACAAATATTTTGTTTAGAGTTATAAGAGTTTAAAAGTCCACCGTTCGTCCTGCCCTAAACTTGAAACTTCAATAACTATTCAAAATTGGTTATCCAAAACTAGTTATCAACTAATCAAAATTGTTTTTCAAACATTATTCTCAATGTAACAAAATCGCCAAAAAAAATCAGGCGTTTCATATAAAGTCCTTAATACCCTGTATATATTATATGGAGGCGCGAGACAACCAATAGTACCCACCTATTATCGTACATGCGCGCCGGCTTGATGGACCGAAAAAAACGCGCTTACTGCCTCCCGGTGGATGTCAAGGGCAACCAGTCGCAGTACTTATATGTATATATGTATATGTATTGTATCTATACGTATATATATATATATATATTATACATAGATAGGTATATGATATTATTATACGGCAACATCGCATTACGTGAGTTAAGCGGCGTCGGACAGGTCTCCTCCGACAATAATATATATTGTTCCGTGCGCGCGGGGCACTTGTACGCGTCGGTTCCTATATACCTGTACATAAGCATACTGTATAAGTATAAATTATATATATATATATATATATAAATATATTTGATTTTAATTTTCCATCCTGCGCACAGCATCAGGTCGCGTATACGTTTTCAAGGTTCCGTGTACAAGAAGATCGCCACGGTCTCAAGAACTGGCGAAATGGCCAAACCGACCAACAGAGCGCTGTGACGGATGTTGGACAGCGTCCAAAACA